TCCTTTATACTGAGATCATATTCCATCAATTCCGATTGTTTCTTCTCTTGAACCAGCGATGCCCATGACATTTTCTTTCCCCCAACACCAATAATCAAGGCTGGTTCCTTCACCTGAACCATCTCTGATTCTTTTCCCTCCTCGACTGTCTCCACAACCTTCCCATCTGATTCATCGACCCCCTTCCCCTCCAGCACACCTTTTTGATTTACCTCGTTCTGAATCTCACCCACCTGATCCAATCCGAGCATATCCATCTCACTCACTCCTGACCCTCTTCCATCTCCCAATAGCTCTTCACACACGACCGGACTGGGAGCCAGACTACACTCCGCCGTCGCGCCTGCCAAAACCGGAGGCGGAGAGACCGCCGGCATGGCCAAAAGTACAGAAAAGAAACTTTCTTTGGTGAAAACCTAATCGCCGAAATCGCCGAAACCTAATCGCTTTTTTTATTCGTTTTTTTTTATAAAAGAGATATTGATTGTTTCACAAACTTTAAAATCAAAATCTGTCAGGTCTCTCTAGTCCACGTAGAAGATACAGCTATAACCAAACAAGACACGTAGAAGATATTAAAGAAGTAATAAAGATACAGCTATAACCAAACAAGACACGTAGAAGATATTAAAGAAGTAATAACACATCATTATTAGTAACTTTTGTAGATTTCTTTAAATATAAAATTATTAAAAATTGAATAAAAAAAATAAAGTGTTTTTGGTTAAAATAGTGGAATATATTAAAATATAAAATTAATAAAATTTGATTAAAAAAAAAGAGATAGTGGTATTTTTGGAAGAAGAGATTGAGTTAGGGTGTGTTTAAATATAAAATTAATAAAAATTGAGTAAAAAGATGAAAAAGAAGGTATAAAGTTGAGTAAAAGAAAGAAAAAATGTGTTTTTAATAATTTTATATTTAAAGAAACTCACAAAAGTCATGGATAAAGATGGTCTAAGAACTACTTGAAACCACTGTTTATATAGTTCCCCGAAATTTTTTCTTTATTCTTCTCCTGTCGTATTCTCTCATAAACCCAAGTTGTGATACTACTTAGATACTTTTAAAAATTATTTTCTTTAAGTCTATTCATACTTTGAAAAATATATATTATTTTATAAGTTTATTTGACGAAACTCGAAAGGTTCCAAATTTAAATTAGATATCTTATGGATTGATAGATATTATGATATTTATAATTAAAATGTGAATGCTACAAGTATAAGTTTACATAGATCATTAACTGAATAATGATATTCTTAAAGTTCATCTTAAATATTATCTTAAAATTTAGTATTTTGTTTTTTATTAGAGGTTAGTCACAATTCGTCTTTGTTTTTTTTTAAATATGGTTCTAGAATGTTTTCTTTTTGTCAATAAACAAACTTCCATTAAAACTTAAGAGATTGTTTCGGTTACAAGGGCAATCATTGCCAATAAAAAGCTAAAGTAGATAACATCAAATCTTTGGGGAAGAAATGAAGTGTCGTGGGGGTTTGGAAACCTTTGAACCTAATGAAAAAGGCTCGAGTCTGTTGTAAGGATTCGGATACTACCGATATTGTCCTTATATTTTCTTCTAACGCATGTGACAAAGCCGCTTGGCTTTTAGGCGAGTCACCAAGAACTCAAAGATCCTGGATTTACACTCGATCACAACTATTGAAGCATAAGTTGTCGATACACGGATGAACTTTGCTACAATCTTAATCCATTCTAAACTAATAATGGGTTGCCAATCCATTAAAAAAGATAACAATTATGGGCCAAACCACCTAATTGATCTACATGGGCTGAAAAGCTATTCCAAACAGCAAGCCCACTACACCAAGAGAGAGGGAGAGGCTTACGGAGGTTGATCGGAGAAATTGATGAGGCCAAACCGTCAGGATGGGCGAGCTCCAGGACCACCGCCAGAGGTATGGCGGTTTTACATCCGGCATAGTAACCGTGCCGCTGGTTGACCCATCGAGTTCTCCAAGCCTGGCCATCATGATTTCGAACCACCACCAACGGGAGAGGCGGATTTATGTTCTTCTCAGGAGCTGAAACAACGCAGGTCCATCGTCGAAGGGGAAAAACAGACCTAGAGATGCAATCTCGAGATGGGTTTAGCCAAAGAAGAGGAGGGAGTTTGGAGTAAGAGGAGCGAATCAAAGCCGAAGATTGACATAACAGTCCTGAGTCTCTAGCGTCCGGTGGATCCGGAGGGTCTGGAGGAACCAGCGGTGACGACAGCGAAAACACCACCAGCAACGGGTCTGGCCAAGGGAGCAGATCTGGTGGTTCCGACATCGCATAGGCCAACGAGATAGGGGAGTGGTTCAACGGCGACAAGAGCTCGCCGAGAGATCTTCTTTGAGGAGGAGAGGTCGCGACTGTGGGAAAACTTCTCGCCGGAACAGAGCCACCATTCACGAGAATCTTCTGCACCCCCGGAGTTGCGTGATAAGTTCTGGAATAGACTTATCTGATTC